AAAAAAAAAAAAAAAAAAAGAAGCTGAAACTTTCGATTTCTGATCCTCTGATAGAATTTTTTTTCTGAAAGTCTGTAGAATTTTCACTTCATCCTCAGTATTCTATAGATTCACAGTGATGTATGTTTATATTGGTTTGTTTTCATATACTAGACACTTAGTATGTCCCTTCAATCTGAAAACATATGTCTTTCAACTCAGTGGAAAATGTTTAATTATATATTTCTTCCGATTTTCTGTTCTCTCTTTTAGTATTTCTTTTTTTTTTTGTTTGTTTGTTTTTTGAGACAGAGTCTCTCTTTGTCACCTTCGATAAAGTGCTATGGCATCTTAGCTCACAGCATCCTCAAACTCATGGATTTAAGTGATTCTCTTGTCTCAGCCTCCCAAGGCTGTCACTAAAGGCACCCACCACAACACCTGGCTATTTTTAGAGGTGGGGGGTCTCACTCTGGCTCAGGCTGGTTTTGAACTCGTGAACTCAGGCTAGCTACCTGCCTCAGCCTTACAGAATTCTAGGATTATAGGCATGAGCCACCTTTCCTGGTCTTCTCTTTTGGTATTTCTTGTTAGGTGGATTTTGTGCCCCCCTGAATTGGTTCCTTAATTTCCTTATCTTCTCGTTCATGTTTTCCATCTCTTTACCAAACATCCAGTCTTCTGGAACTGGGATTAGTGATAGCCCAGTGACATAGAGTTGGGAAGAGAGTTTAGGAATCTGTTACTTGTATGGCTTTAAATAATCTTAGTTTAGCTTTCCTTTCCTACCACTTCCAGATGTACCAGAAACTACCAATTCCAGAGCCCCTTTAGACTTTTACAATTAAACACAGATTGTTTCTGACTTTTTCCACTACAGGCTTGGGAGTTTGCATTCTTGAATCTATTAAGTAAATCACCACTCACTTATCCAATTTTCAACCTTCAAAATTTTGTTTATGTTTTCTCCTGTCTCATTACTCCCAACCTGAAAGTTTGTGTCTCACTTTCTTTCTTTCTTTTTTTTTTTGGAGATAAAATTAATCTTTTTAGGTTAACAACTCAGTGGCTTTTAAACTTTATTATTGTATTTAATTGACACATAATACTTGCACATATTTATGGATTATAGTGTTATATTTTGGTACATATATCTAATGTATAATGATCCAATCAAGATGATTAGCATATCCAGCACCTCAAGTATTTATCATTTCTTTGTTTTGGGAAGTGGTATTTAATATATTCACTAGGTGCAGTGGCTCATATCTGCAATGCCAACACGTTAGGAAGCTGAAAAAGGGAGATCAGTTAAGGCCAGAAGTTCAAGACCAGCCTGGGCAACATAGTGAGATCCCATCTCTACATTTTATTTTTTTATTTAACCAGAGTCAATGTAGATCTACAATTTTTTTTTAAAAATTAGCTAGGTACTGTGGTGCACACCAGCATCCCTTGTTACTCAGGAGGCTGAGGCAAGAGAATTATTTGAGCCCAGAGATTCAAGATTACAATGAGCTATGATTGCTCTTAAAACAAAACAAAAGCGAAAAACTTTCACAGTGTTGTACAGCCACTGGGGTATATAACTAAGAATGGAATTGCTGGGATCATATAGTAATTCTGCGTTTGCTTTTTTGGAGAACTATCAACTGTTTTCCCCAATGGTTAAACTATTTTACGTTGTCATTAGCAGTGTATGAGCGTTCCAATTCCTCCATATCTTTACCACATCCTTGTTATTTTCTCTCTGTCTTTTTTTAAATTATTATCACCACTCTAGTAAGTGTGAAGTGGTACCTCTTTATGCCCTGGATTTGCATCTCCCTGATGGCTATCAATGTTGAGCATCTTTTCATGTGCTTGTTGTCTTTTCTGGATTTATGTCTTTGCTGGGTGCAGTGGCTCAGGCCTGTAATCCTAGTACTCTGGGAGGTCAAGGCAGGTGGATTGTCTGAGCTCACAAGTTCAAGACCAGCCTGAGCCAGAGTGAGACTTCATATCTAAAAATAGCCAAGAATTGTGGCAGGTACCTGTAGTCCCAGCTTCTTGGGAGGCTGAGGCAACAGGATCTCTTGAGCCCAAGAGTTTGAAGTTGCTGTGAGTTGTGATGACACAGCACTCTACCGAAGGTGACAAAGTGAAACTCTGTCTCAAAAAAAAAAAAAAATCCCTTTATTATAGTTTTGCTGAGATCTTGGGAGGTAATAAAATTAGATGTTAGTATTCAATCCACCATTACTACCCATTACTACTCGTCTGGCCTCTGAGATGATTAGAATGGAAAAATGGTGTGTATTGGCGACTAGGAGGGAGCCTGAAGTGTGTCCTGTATAGTAAGGAGCCCTGGGCCAGGCATTAAGAGACTGTGACTGTAGACCCAGCTCTGTAAAGATCTTTCTGAGTGGTCTTGGGCAAGTCATTCTTCCTCTCTGAGTTTTGTTTCCCTCAGCTTGGTTTGGCCTGTGGTCTTTAAAATTCTTTACAGCTAACACATTCATGTCTATAATCCTAGCACTCTGGGAGGCTAAGGTGGGTGGATTGCTTGAGCTCAGGAGTTCCAGACCAGCCTAAGCAAGAGCAAGACCCTGTCTCTACAAAAAAATAGAAAAAGTAGGCATTGTGGTGTACACCTGTTGTCCCAGTTACTTAGAAGACTGAGGTAGGAGGATTGTTCAAGCCCAAGAGTTGGAGGTTATAGTGAGTTGTGATGATGCCAATGCACTCTAGCAGGGCCAAAATAATGAGACCTTGTCTCAAAAAAGAAAAAGGTCTATGCAGGTCAAGGAGCTTGACCTGTAGACCCCAGTTCAAGTTACATGTACATATGTGCTTATGTATGTGTATGAATGTGTGCATATGTGTGTGTGAGTATATGTGCGTCTGTGAATGTATGTGTGTGAGTGTATGTGAGAGTGTGCTGTATGTATGCATGCACTCATAGGTGTGTCATTCCCATCCTGAATCCTCCTCTTCTTCACTTTCTCCCCAGTGGAACACACGGGCCAAGAGGGAAAAGCTGACAGAGCTGATGTTCGAGCAATACAACATTCCTGCCTTCTTCTTATGCAAGACTGCTGTGCTCACTGCGTATCCTCTGGGCTGAGCTGCTCTGCCTGGGTGGAGGGGTGGGGTGCGGTGCCATGTGCCATGCTGGGAGCTGGCCTTGATCTTTGGAGATCAGCATACTAAGGGGCAGATGCCTCCCATAGCCCTGTTAGTGCAGGAGGCCCAGGGACCTGAGTGCCTCAGACTCTGGGGGCCAGACCAGCAGCCCTTTCCCATTCTCTATATCAGGCTGAGCAGAATGAGGTGGACCAAGGAGACAGAAGGGGCTGGAACTGCATAGAGGAGGAGGAGTATAGGACACAGAGAGCCAGTTCCTTTTCAAGGAGCCAATCAGCGTTGACTTTTTGCAGTATATGCCTAGCAATGAACCCTGTGCTAGGCTCTGGGGTGATAACGACCTTAATTTGGGGGAGTCCATAGGGCAAAGCCAAGAATAAAGGGAGACTAGGGTTTCTTAAGGAAGAAGTGACTGGAGTCTCAGAGTCTTTCTCCAGGAAGAATTTACAAACTGGGGATGGGCTGGACTCTCATAGAACAGAGAGTGACCAGGCCAGACCTCAGTGCCAGCCCCTCACTTGCTGTCTCCTTGACCTACCCATCCCATATCAGCTTTGCAAATGGGCGCTCCACAGGGCTTGTGCTGGACAGTGGTGCCACTCACACCACGGCCATTCCAGTGCACGATGGCTACGTCCTGCAGCAAGGTTGGGCCTTGGCAGAGTTGGGGGGGCCTCAGGAGGACCAGTTCCTGATGGTGCCTCCCCTTCCAGGCATTGTCAAGTCACCCCTGGCAGGGGACTTCATCTCCATGCAGTGTCGGGAGCTCTTCCAGGAAATGGCCATTGACATCATCCCCCCCTATATGATTGCAGCGAAGGTGGGGCCTCTGGGTAGTCTGAGCTGCCCCCACAAAGCCCTGGGCACTTGCCCCATGATTGCTGGCCCACTGACTCATGAGATATCAGAGCAGAGAGCTGCAAGGCCCCCAGAGGACCCCCAGTCTGGTTCCTCATTTTACAATCAAGGCATCAGAGATCCAGATAGGCTGAGGGACATGGCTGAGATCATGCAACCAGCTGGCAGCATGTGTGAGGGCCAGTTAGGTGGGTTCTGGAATCCAACAGACCCAGGTTCAAGTTCTTGTCTTGCCACGTAAGAGCTCTATTTTCCCTCCTGTGAAGTGGAACCACAGCAGAAAAGGCTGCTGTGAATGTTAAGTGACACTGTAGGCACAGGTCTGCCCTGGGCCCTCACACAGAGCATGGCCCAGTAAGAGGTAGCTTTCCTTAGGTTCTGTCTCCCACTGTGTTCCTTGTGCCCTCAGTGTCCTCTGACAGGATCTTCCTGGATACAGAAACAGGCTTCCCCATTCTCACTCCTCTCTCATGGAGAGTAAGAAACCCTTTTTCTGTGAAGCAGAGCCCCAGGCACTTAGCCACAGAGCCACTGAGTGCCAGGAAGGCAAATATGGCCAGGGCAGGATGGGGAAGGGTGCTTACAGGTTGTGTACCCACAGGAACCTGTACGAGAGGGAGCCCCCCCAAACTGGAAGAAGAAAGAGAAGCTACCCCAGGTCTCCAAGTCCTGGCATAACTACATGTGCAATGTGAGGCGCTGTCGAGGGTCTCCTGAAGCCTCCCTCCCCAGCTCCTAGTCCCCTGCCATGAGTAGGGGGTGGGACAGGGGCCTTGCTGATGGGGTGCGGTTGGGGGTGCTCAGAAGGAAAGTGGGCCCTCACTCCTCCCTGGGTTCTCAGGAGGTGATTCAGGACTTCCAGGCCTCGGTACTGCAGGTCTCAGACTCCCCCTACGATGAGCAGTGAGTGGGGTGGGTTGGGGGAAGAGGGCAGAAGTGGGGCTGGGGGGACCTCTGGCACTACCTGCCCTCCCCTGGTTCTTCTCAAATGCCCCAGGTATTTGCTCTGGGACTCTGAGCACTCCAGTCACTTCTTGCTCTCTTCTGGGCAGGGTGGCAGCACAGATGCCCACAGTGCATTATGAGATGCCCAATGGCTACAACACAGATTATGGGGCTGAGCGGCTCCGCATCCCTGAGGGCCTGTTTGATCCCTCCAACGTCAAGGTTTGTCTGGGTGGCTGGCACTGGGGTGGGTGCTGGTGGAGGTCTCTAATCCTAAAGTGTGATGGCAGAGGACCCACAGTCCCAGTCACCTTTCTCCACAGGGTCTCTCTGGGAACACCATGTTAGGTGTGGGGCACGTGGTGACTACTAGTATTGGCATGTGTGACATTGACATTCGCCCGGTGAGGCCTGAGGCTGGGCAGTGGGGCCCCAAAGAGTGGGGAGGTAGGCTGGGGTGGGGGTTAGGGGACTATTCCTGCTGGCTTACTCTTCCTCCCTGCTCTTAGGGACTCTATGGCAGTGTCATTGTCACTGGTGGAAATACACTGCTGCAGGGCTTCACTGACAGGCTCAATCGAGAGCTTTCACAGAAGACCCCACCGGTAGGAGCCCAGTCTGCCCACAGCCCTGGACTCTAGTCCTGTCTCAGCCCTTCAGGACCAAGTCCCTCCTCCTTCCCATGCTGAAGTGTTCTGGTCCCCAGAGCAGGTCCCCTGTCCTTGTGGCTTCCCAGCCTTTCCCTTGGCCCTCTCAGGCCCTGTCCCTCCCCAGAACTTGGTGTCTGCTTCCCCCAGCCCCTTTTTACCCACAGAGCATGAGACTGAAGCTCATTGCCAGCAACAGCACCATGGAGCGCAAGTTCAGCCCCTGGATTGGGGGCTCCATCTTGGCCTCACTGGTAAGAGGGAGGGGCCTGGCCTAGTACTGAATGTGGGGCAGAGGAGCCCCAGACAGCCACCACCACTTTGCCTGCCTCCTCATTTGCTCATTCATTTATTAACAAACATTTATTTCTGAGAAAATGTGGTCCATGAGTGTTCCCACAGGGTGAATGCTCCATGAGGACATAAGTTGGGGTCAGAGGGACAGGAAGAGATTGGTTGGGATGAGGTTGTAGTGAGTGGCTCTCCATGTTCAGCTGGCAGAGGGCAAACCCTGTAGGTTTGGGGCAAGGGCATGATTGGGAAGACTGTCAGGCATGAGTCTTTGGAATGGGGTGAGAGCCAGGGTCACAGGGACCTTGCAATGAAACTCTGTTGTCCTTGAGTCATAGTGTGGGTGGCAGTGGGGATGGGCTGGAAAGTGTGGGGCAACTAGAAATGGAGGCAGGTAGGTGGGTTCTGGAGTAGTCAATGGCTGACCTCAGTCTGGACCTGCTATTAGGGCAGAGACAAGATGTTGAGCAGGGAGCTGAAGGTGCAAACCATATCTGGAGGGTACCAGCCACACAGAGGGGAACAGTGGGGCTGAGACAGACAAGGAGGACATTCACTAGAAGGGGAGCCCCTCAAGAAGACAGAAACAAGGGTCAGAAAGGTGGAGGCTGGTAGTCTGAACTTAGTTTGGGTCTGGTGCTGGCCAGCCACACAGTTATTGTAGGCTTGCTTCTTCTGCGCTTGAAGTGGACAGGTGGACAAGCTTAATCCTGTACCCCTCTTCATGAGCAGGGACAGTCTAGAGCTGAAGCAATTAAATAGGAGGTCATCACAAATTAAGAGGGTATTCCTTTGAGAGATAGCTTGATATAATAGGGAGCCTTGAGGGCCCTTCAAAGAGTATTTATTATTTATTTATTTATTTAGAGACAGAGTCTCACTCAGTCACCCTAGGTAGGCAGCTCAGGATGAGGATAGCCCCGTAAGGCCTAACAGCCAAGGGCAGATGCAAGGGAATTAGGCTCCCTTTTAGGGAGCCTCCTTGGGCTACAAGGTGGAGAGTGGATCAAAGGGCCCAGACAGAAGGCAGGGAGAGGGCTACTGTGTGGTCTCCACTCCTGCTGGGATGGGGCAGAGGAGTGGGTGTCAGTGGGTGGCTGGCAGAATGTGGACATTGTTTGCAAACAAGAGGTAAGAAGAGACGGAGTCAAGGATGAGGCCTGGGATGCCAGCTATAGTAGGAGCTAGTGCAGCTGTCCAAAAGGAACATGATGTGAGCTACATATGTAATTTTTAATTTTCTAGTAGCCATATTTAAAAGAGCATAAAAGGCTGAGCACAGTGGCTCACACCTGTAATCGTAGCACTCTGGGAGGCCGAGGTGGGTGGATTTCTTGAGCTCAGGCGTCCAAGACCAGCCCAAGCAAGAGCGAGACCCCATCTCT